TTTAATGTGTTAACTTTCAGAATACACACCATTCTGTTCTAAGAGCGAACATTGTTTAGTTGTACTCAACCTGTTAAATGCCCCAAGGAATTATATATTGAAAGAGATTATTGAAAGACATTTTTAGTGTAGGTTTTCAGGGCAAAATTTAAAACTGAGGTCACCTTTCGTAATAAGAAGTTTTGAATTTATTGGTAGTTATGATTATGATTTCATCCATGGAAAAGGTAAGAGCTGATGGATTCTACTATACATTAGTTTCTTTTTGGTTTTCTTGCTATGCAAGACTTCATTCTTCTTTGTAATAAAATTGTTCTCAAAATATATTGAAAATTACAAGTACATTTAGATTTTTAGATTTTTATTATTTCTATTTGGTTTTTTCCATAAAATATGGAGATGGCCTCAACATTTGAATTTGCTGAAAGAACCATTGTATAGGAAAATTAATTTCAGCAAATGAAAAAATTATTATGTATTTGTGTTGACCTTCTCTTTGTCTTCTAGAAATAATTTATTGTTTAAGAAAAAAAATTTGGCAAGTTTAGTTATAGCGTGGATTAATGTACCCAAAACTGTTCTCCCATAGGGAAATTTTAATTCAACCTAAAGCTTCAACCGCAGACATGATGTTATCCTCGGTTTTTTATCATCTTCATCATTATGTTGAAGTTCTTTTTAATAATTTATCATAATTTCGTTTTGCTACAAAAGTGCTAGCTGATTAATGTATATTAACCTGATTATACTGTGGTATTAATCAATTATTCATCTCCGTTATTCTTTTACCTTCCTGTTTTGCTACTACAATGCTCTAACAATACATTGTTTTACTCGTGTATAACCAGTTTGTTTGCTGTAGGGTCTTGCAGTTCATTATCGATTGCAACCCGGTGCGCGTAATACAATACTGTTTATACAAACCGAAGGATAATATCTCGTATTGAACAGCTTTTCTCCAGAATTAGGATGTACCGGTAATTCTTTTGTTTTGAAAACTGACATTTTTTCTTCTTTTAAAGGTAGGCTATGTGCATTAGGCACTACAATTTATTTTGGAAAAGTTGTTGGAGCTGAGTGTTAGTTGGTAGTTGAGTGGAAGTTCACTTGAATGAAACTCAGTATCAGTGTATCAGCCTCATTTTGAACTACTACTCCATAGAATGGTATTATAATATTTTTCTATAGAATTTAGCAAGAAGAAATGTAGGTAAGAGCTCCAGATGAATTTATCAGAAGAATTAACAGACCACAAAGAAATCCTAAAACAACATGGATTAGCAACATAAGAAACGAAACAAAATCTCTCACTTAAATCCATACTCCAGAGGAAACATGTTTTTTTTTATATTTTGTACAACTGATGTTTCTAAAGACACAAACATTCTGTTTGACGAAAATCGAGGGATCAGTTAATTAAATATATTAATATTTAAAAAAATGGGGAGAAGGGATGTAAACTACCATTTTTTCCACCTTTTCCAACAGTTTTTAAACATTCAAAAATCTGTATCTCTTAAAACGGTACCCGAGTTAGTTTTTCAAATACCGTGTTTGTGTCTTTAGAAAAACTAGTTGTTCAACTGTATCCCAATTTTTTCCTGGTTTTAAGGGTCAATATAATTTTAGCAAAGGATCAGGACCAGTGGTTATTGCAAGAAGAATATCATTCTCATGACAATACAGTGGCAGATTCAAGGGAAAAGGGACCCAGCAATATCGGGTCCCCCTAAATTTTCTAAAATTGGAGAAAAAATAAAAAAATATTTTCAAATTTTAAGTCGAAGAGTACATTTCCGGCCACCTGGAGGTGCCATAATCATAAATTTTCTTACCCTAGCCCAACCATGATGAGACTGAGGTATTATATAACCGCCATCTGTCAAAGTCTCTCCCTGTGCCCCCTTTATTTTAAATTTCGGATCTGCCACTGCAATAAAATGATTTATTAAAGAATATTGACTTTTCTTGCTAGATTTGGAAGGATTCCACAGGGGTAGTTCTTATATTTTATATCCTTGAATAATTGTTTATTCATTAAAATAATAGTGCATGTTGGACATTATTGTAAACAAAGACCTTGCAAACTTGTTATTTATTGATTTAGTGACTCAACTAGTGAAGTGTCACATAAGATCTATGTCAAGGCCCAGCAGGAGAAGCTATGATTTACAAAACAACAGCATGTTGTTATTCTTTGCTCAAGAGTTTTCATTGAAAAAAAAGTATTAATTTTCCTGGCAACAATCCAATTAAATGGATTAAACATAATTGTACTTTTTATTAAGGATTTTTAAAAACTCTTAATTCAAGAGAAAGTATTTTTAAAATATTTATAAATTCTCATATGCATTTTGTTTTGGTGGCCTCTTTTATTAAATATTTAATACAAAGTAAATAAATTATTAAAATCCTATCGAAATTTAAATCATTCTCTCATAACCCCCTTTAACTCCTTCATCATTCACAACCTTTTTGGATAGTAGAAAAGGCAAATGTTTCTTCCCTCTTTTTTGTCTGAAATCTCTAAAACTTTTAAACTTGCAGAACAGATTAAAGTGGTCCGTAATTGCCTAGTTTTTCAAAGCATCACCCTGGACCACACCCGGCCTTTGTCAGGTCCCCACTATCAAACAGTTTAGCCTGAATGGTGTACTGTAATCAACACCACTGGTTTTGCCTGGGGTGTCATTCCCTAATTCCTTTTGAGTGGGTATTTTGTGATTTTTTTTTTTACATGAAAGCTAAAAAAGTTATGGTCCAAAAATGATGTGGGAGTTATGAATAATTGTTTGACCTACCGTAATTGAAGAATTATATATTTGTGTAAGGATATCATTTTGGATTTAATTGGTTAAATAAAACAAAGAAATACTTGTTTGATTTTTATTGTTTAAACATTTTGATAAGGATGAGAACGGGACATACTTCACAAGGTTCACATCATCCTCCTGGGACCAGTTGTCCAAATGATAAGAACATGTTCTGTTAAGTAAGCTTCTAAATTGGATGATATAAAATCTTTTCCTCACCACCTCGGTCCACTTTTGGTTTCTAAAACTTGAAGTTAGTATAAATCATCGGCGCATTTGAACTCCACGAACGACACATGGCAGTAATCAGCTATGACTAGCCCCACTTCATACTGATGACTGTGCTTTGAACCTGCGGTTCAGTGACTCTTGTATGCCGGTGTTTCCTATTCATTTTACTTCGTGTTTATAGTATTGGAATCACATTTCATGTGAATGTATCTACAAGTAACTAAAGGACATTGAAGGAAGAAATTAGGTCCATTGATTTGTAAACATCTTTACAAGAAAATACACACAAAAATATATTAAACAAATTCTTAATGCTGATGAGATTGCATCATAGCAAATCACAAGAAAGACTACTTAAGGATGTTTACATTTTAAATAGGCATAAAAGAATAATGATGAAGGTTAGCCCTTAACTAATTATTAGGCCTATATCATCACATCATAATAAGTATCTTTAAAAACTCATAATCTGGCTATAGGTATTCCAGATTCATTTTGATTTATTTTTCCATAAAAATGGTATATAGGCCTAATAAATTAAATTTTTATAACTGCTGGTGAAGGTTGAAACATATACCGTTACTCTTGCTAGTTAGAAATTATTATTGATGTTCTATTCATGATAATTTTACATAGAATACTTAAAGATCCTTGTAAATTTGTTAATTTCCGTTTTAAAAAAATTGTTTTCTATTGCGGCTCTAGGCTCTGTGTACTATATTCATTCCCACAGGTTACTTAAAGGTTGTAGCTCTTTTTAATCATTAAACATTGATTATTGATTTTAGCATTAATGTACAGTAATTGATTAAGTATAGTTGAAGATCAGTGCCTATGGAAAGCCATGACCGTCAACGTCTCTGAAGAACAAGGTACACACAGAGGGGAATCTATTATTATACAACAGGCGTTATTGATTTCCATTCAGTACACTTTGTATAGTTATATAATCTGAGACAACAGGTTATATTTTGTAACATTTATCTAATATAAATCTCCATCCATATACAATAAGCATTGTATTAGAACATGGGGTGATAATAGAATATACTTATCTTCATGATTATCTATTGTGGTCTCCAGTGGAGAGGACTGGCCTCCAGTTAAGATTGCTAGATACCTGGAGATTTTCTATTTGACCATGGAGAAAGTGTTTTCTATCTGAACATTTAATTCATGCAAAAACTTTTAAGAAGAGCATAGCAAAATTTATCTTTTGGAGATTTCTATTCTGAAAATACATTGGTTGGGTCAAAAGGATCTGGAGCAGTGTTGATATTAAGATAATATCATCATTGTAGACATTAATTTTTATAATCAATATCTATATCTACAAGATTACCTAAATAACATGTAAACTATTTATCATGAACTTTAAAAATCATATTCTTGATTTGTAGCTCTTTGCAAATATCTTGGTTCGGATCATGTTCTGAACAATATGCTAAAAACTATAAAATGACATTTCTCCCTACGACAGCTATCATTTTATTTATTTTTTAAAATCTTATTATAGGCCTACTCTAATTTATTATATCTATATTATATTTCATTATTTAAGATCATATTACAATAGTTATTAATAGTAGTATGAACCAGATTTATAGTAGGCCTATATATTTTTTTTATTTATTTGCTTCAGGGGGAAAAAATTGATCTGTACAGTATATCATGACATTGCAATGTGATAATAAAGTATCTTGTTTCTAGTGTGAACTAGAATACAGAATTTCATAATTCCAGATTTGATTGGATGACCAATCAAAATATATGTATCATATTTTAGCATAATCATAATACAACAAATATTATTGGTTGTTTCTCATAGTATATCGTCAACCACAGATCTTCCAGGATCTATTTGTGATTCCACTTATTCCTGCCTTAGGATAAGGAAGTAGTTTAACTACTTATCTAAACCATGTCTAAACACACCCTTTCAGATGTAATTTTAATGGTGTTCTTTACCATAATCATAACCATGGTGAACCTAACAGTTTGTTAATTCGAGTTCTATTCTAATGAGTAACTGAGAAAGGTCAGAGGGGAACAAGAAGTCAGTTTCTTTGCGTGTATCATCTGGTTTGGAAGAATAATGCCAGTGTGTCGTTTCATTTGATACAAGTTTTGACATTCGAATCCTCTTTCGCTTTTGTTGACGCCAATTTGTCATCAGATTTCCGAATTGGTCGAAAATAAGATTTGTATTCACAGTTCGGATATTGCTCGGTTGAATCTTTTGTGGAGTAAACAAGGTAGTATAGAAGGTAATATACCTTTTGGCTTCAAACGTGTTTAATCATGGAGGTGTAAAAATAAACATTATTTTTATACCTCTGTGGTATAACCTACCTATGTATTGTTATAACCATTTGGTATTTTTATGTAGACTTTTCAGGATGTATTTTTAGTAAAATTTCTCATAACCTGCTTAACCCTTTTTTAATTTTCTATAATTGACTGGCTCTCATGTAGCGTGCAATATTCTATGACTATAAGTTATTGTTGACATTTTAAACTAAATTATTTGTATAAATGTAATGGCCATTGTTGTAAGTAGCTTTTAATCATCTTATTGTGTTCTTTCCAATTTGTGGTTGATTGTAAAAATGCATTGTTGTATTGTTCGTATGAGCAGCATGGCACAATTGGTTAGGCCAAAGTACTAGTAACATTTTTTTTTTTACAAGGCATATAAAAAACATTTTTCTAGTAGATTAGAGCACCCGAGGACTCCAAAACTGCCTCCAGTCTGTAGTTGGTACGTGATTTCCCAGGCAGCTGATACCTATGTTTACATCTAACAAGCCACCAAATCAATGGGTGCCTTCTAATAACATAGTTCTGTGGTCATCCGACACAGTAGGTGCTAAGTGATTCTAAATTGACGGAGCGTTTGTCCTTCCTATTACTATTAAATAACCAGCGTTGAACCAATTCATGCATAACCAAAACTAATATTTTTTTATCGGAACGTTTGATTAAGTCTAGTGCTTTCGTAAAAGAAGATTTAAACAATAAGTTGATAGTCATAAGTTGTCTCCATGGTCTGTTTGTTTTAACACTTGGGTAAAAAATGTCCATTAATAGTGGTGTTGTAAACTATTATCAGTATCAGGGATATTGTTTGACATTGTAACATAGGAATCAAAGTTTTATATACTATTGTTGATATTGTCAATGAAAGGATTCATTCTTCTAGGTATTTTTCAGATGGATGCTATGGCATGATAAATGATGTAGTAATTAATAAATCATACATAGTTCTAGGAAAATCAATAATTATAAAATACATACTGTAAATTAAGAAAATGGCATAAAGATTTTGTTTTAATGATCATGTAAATTAAATTGTTATTGAGTATTTTTTTTATGTTTATAACAATTTGAATAACAAAAAGATTTTCTGAAAGTTTTTGGGGAAAATTCATTTATAGTTTTTTGTTTCTCAGACAACACTATTTTATGTTATCCATGAATTTAATTTTTTCCTGGGAGTCAATTAAACTTGTAGTCTAGCGTATTTCCTTTTATTATTACCATTGTTATACCCACTGAAAAATCTCACATCCTTTCTCTTATCTTCTGTAGTTCCTTTATTTTTTAAATTTCATTCCAACAATAATTTGCAGGTATGGTAGCATAGATATAATACCATGTGTTTCTATTGTTATCCTGCAGATTGTCTTAGTTTGTGATGTACTGGCGTCCTGTGATCAACAACCAAAATGGCGGTCTGCAGCTCCGGGATCACCAAGGCTCACCCTATAGACAGCTTCACCGCGATACCGAAAAACATAGACTTCAATATCACACCACCTCAAGTAATCGAATCGCCCACAATGGGCAGTGTAACTAGTCTGATCGACAGAGGTGATTCAATACTAAGCTCACATTCTACCGGAACCTCAGGACAACAGAACCACGTATACGAAGAAGTGGATATTCAAGTAGGACCACCGAAAATTACGCCTTTCAGCGGAAAATTAGAAAAGGTGAGATTTTTTAAAGGAACATTCATATCATTGATTAAATTGTAAAGTAGTATGATTAAAAAATTCAAGAAATTACAAACTATAGGTCTCTCTTCAATCAAAGGCCACTTTAGGTTTCAATGGTCTTTAGCAGCTTTGGTCTCTAATTAGAATAATATAAATAAAAGACATTTATTAATTTGGGACCATAGAAAAATGATCATTAATTGGAGGTAGTCTTTAATTGGAGGGAGACCTGTATTTGATAATAATGGACTCTGTTATCATAATTTCAATTCAATCTTTATTGGTCCAATATATTAAATAAATATATAAGAAAATCTTTGTTTATACACTGCAATAGATTAAAGGAGGAAATTCAATATATATAAAAGATTAAGAAACACAATTCAACTTACAATTCAAATAGATTCAAAGGTAAAATTAATAAAGGAAAAATCAGTATTCAATATAAAAAGCTAAATTTAGTAATTATAAAGGTAATCAATTTATTGTTCTGAAAAAGATTTTTTTTTGGCTGAAATGATTATTGAATAGAAATAGGTGATACAAAGATACTGGAAATGGCCTTGCTAATTAACAAATCACTAACAAAGCATTTAACAAATTCAGAATAAGGTTAATGACGAGTAATTGTTGTACCAGTCAGGCCTTTGTCATTTCAACACAATACAGGTTTCCATTAATTCCCTAACCAATGTCAAAAAGATATAAATAAATATAAGTCAGATTTTCATACACTCATCGTTTTAACTTTTATTTAGTGTTCAATGTCAAAAAGTTATACCAATGTATGTATCTGATTATTTGTCTCATCTGATTAATAACTTAATAGTTAAATCTAAATCAATCCATTGTATTGCAGAAATCACACCATGGAGGAATAAATTAATCTTATTCCTATTGGCCATGATCACACCAATTTAAATTTCATTGACAAATTAGGTTCCGGCCTGTGTATCATGTACTGTAATCTTCACAATTTGTAAAAGACAGTTGAATACAGTATAAATAATAAATAAATCTAAGAATTTTTTTAAGAAAACAATTTATAAAAGGAACATGTTAAAAACAACTGACATAGGCCTATTCATATCAAAGCAAATAAACTGATATAATGATAATTAATAACATGTGTGGCTTAAATAATTGCTAGGCTGCATGCAATGATAAAATAATTACCAAATATTTTCTTAATAGATACATTTGCTTATCTCAGGCCGTGTGGATAAATCCATTTCACTTTGTTCTGGACCATCAGTATCTTTGATTGATGGAATAGAAGAATGAAGTCCTTGACAACCTATAAAATATAATTAGCAAGTGTCCCCCTGTGGTTAATTTACACTGGTGGTAGATGCTTTCTACACCTTGCAAGTAAACTCATCAATGGGTTAACTGTTAGTATAGTAGGCCTCCTTAAACTTCTGCTACTCACCCTGTAAGACCACCAAGTTATGTGATGACCTAGAAAAATCTTGGTTTGTGTTTCATAAACTTGAGATAGGACAGTGTAAAAACATTTTTTTTTTCAAAATAGAAAGGCAAGTCTTTTTCTACCTTGTTTCTTAAACCAGTGGCAGGAGGTGGTGACTAGAAGCCTAAACATGAGTGTGTCTATTTGATAAATATATTTATATTTTTATTTATTTATTCAAACTCCCTTGGCAATTCAAAAACACTTCATAAAACATCATAAAAAAAAAAACATTGCTAATGAAGAGAAAGGCTTACAGGTGAAATACACCTCTGGAACTGCCAATCCCCTTATCCCCTTACTAAGTTATTGCACATTGCAAGTTCAACTAGATAAAAAAAAAAAACTTATATATTATATAAGCTATCATTACAAGATCGTTTAAGACAACCTTCTTGCATAACGACACATACACAAGAAAATATTTTTAATTTTTGTTCCGCCTACTTTCAATTTCTTTCCAAATTATAAAGTTTGCCTAAACAATGTATAAAGAAAGTATCGGTTTGACTGATTTGAAATTGTAGGCCTGAACTTGTGCACCAATGTCTTAAACAATTAACTTTGCATATAATGTCTTAACCCATTAACTTTACATAATGGTGGCTATTGTAGAAGATATTGAGGTGAATGACCTTTGGGCATGGACACAGGATATCTGTGGTTTGTGTTCCATAGCAAATCTTGGTTTTAACTTTATTGTCTTGGCTTGAAAGTGTTGTGATACAGTGTTGTGATACAGTGGTGTACTCTCCAGTTGAAAGTTATTACAGTATTTTGTTTGTAGTTAGATAAAGTTATGCTTGGGAAACTTTTTAAGGAAGATGGGACAAACAATGTAGAATTATTGGATCTGTAGCACAACTCAACAGGCATCCTAAATAGATTCTTGATTTAACAAAAAGGCATTTATAATTTGTTTATTCAGAACTCATTTGAGCAGATTAGTGTGCAGGGAAATCACTCAACAAACTCCAAGATAAGAAGTACAATACAAACTTGTTAACAAATATTGAGTTTTAGGAAGATTTGTGATTGGTCTATGTTTGTTCTGCTTCAGCTGGTTTGCATTTTAGATTTTTTTTTTAGGGGAGCCTGGATAATGGGATACTGTGAAGTTGAGAGTCCATTCCAAACAAGCCATAAATCGTTTGATGAGGCTAGATGAGTGCACACTCAGCAGGCTAGATGTGGGTCAAGCAGGCTCATTTCGGCTTCAGTCTGTGCTACATGTGGACATCAGAGTAGGCTAAACTCCACATTCAGCCAGCTAGTTTCAAATCCTCTGGACATCTTACATTGTCTATATTTATTTACTATTTTTACTGAAAAGTTTTTTTTACTGGTTGAACATTTTTACAAAGGTAAGTGTTCAGAAGATTCTGTACTTATATACATCTATAAGAAGAACATTTTACTATTTGATCCATCTTTAGTAGTAATAATACTTCTATTTTTTTTAAATTTTATTAATTTTACTGAAGTAATGCTTGCATTTAGAGCATAGTGCATGCACATAAATCCTGCTTTAGTCTAGTTTTGATGCAGTAAATTCTTTGAACTCTTCTCTTCTGGAAATCTGTCATAAAAATATCAGACACATAAATATTCCATCGCTGTTAATTGGTGAATCGTGTGAATACCGTAATTACACTCAATCGCATAACACTTCCTCCTAATATTGCTTTTGGTACGGCTAAGTGATGATGATGAAGATGAAAATGGATTTTGCCTATATTTGGTGATGCCGGTTTAGTTAAGGTGTAGCCTAAAGGCAAAGTCCTCAGTTTTCAATTTCAAAACTGCGAGTATAACAATCATCGTGGTGTCTGATTCTCCTCAACTAAACACAACCTTTTCCCAAAGCAGTACACACTTGCTTGACTTCATTAGGCTTCGGAAATGGATTTCCACATCTTGTATCCTGCATGTGATGAGGGATAAAATGGTTCACAACTCGATTTTTCCTCAGGTTAAATATTTCACTGTCTTGTAAATTTAAGGAAAATCCACAAGAGTTGTTTTCATTTCAAAAGATAAAATAGGTTTAACTTTAAATGAACAAGAGCGACCATTTACTGGTCCATGCATTCCACCACGCATAAATGCAGTACAGGCGTAAATTATTATATTATGTTTTTGGAAGGACTAATAAGATAGAATATTTAGAATGTTCATTTGTACAAAATTTTAAAATTAGGAAAAAAAATGAATAACAAGACGCGATTCAAATGCATGACCGTTGTTTCTTAGAACACATCCTTAACCAACCGCGCCAACCATGCAAAGTACCTTATTAGTGGTAATAGCAATAATGGACAGTCCTTTGCTGACACCCTTGTTTTGTGTTATAGGTGTAAGGGCAACCCTGGGGTCCAACTTAAAAAAAGGATGATGAAATCCCCTCTGGTGTATGTGTACAAAATTTCATGCACGTCCATTCAAAACTGGCGACGTTGCATTTTTATTCTCATTACAATTTTAAATTAAAAGCCAAAACTTAATTACAATCTGAATATTGATGTAATATATCTAATTGTTTTTTGGGGTTTTTTTCTGGGTTTACAGAGACGATATATCTGTTACCTTAATTGCGTTTCTTATACTCCGATAAACATTTAATGGAATTAGATTTAGTAAATTTACCTCCTGATTTTCCTTAAAAGTCTGTTTTTAGTTATGTGGTTAGGTTAATCTTCAGCATAATCTTGATTACAGTCATCAACTTTGTTTTTTGCTGTTACTATGGTTATGAGTTGTGTGACTCAAACTGCATTGTTTCAAAGACAACCACACCACAAGGTTATAATTTATCACCATTACTGTTCTCTTTATAATTACCATTATTCTCATAATCTTTGTACTTTGTGGCCGGAGGATAAGTAACATGCAAAGGGGAAGCATTTGGAAATTTGAAAATGTGCATTAAAAAAATGACAGCTTCTCTTCAACGATGTTAATAAGTCTTCGTGAAAAAATTTCACGATTTATTAAACTGAATGGCTAATATCTGCGACAGCATACAATGTAACATAATTTATAGTATTATTTAACTAATAGGTATGAAATATCTCTTGGCACAGAAATAATAATTTGAACACCTTGACATTAATTTTTGGCCCACGGAAAGCTTTATGTGGGCCAAGGAATGAATAAATGTAAAATAAAGAATATATAAATATAAGGAACAAGTGCCAATATGGTACCCTACAGAGAGTTCAATAATGCTGGAGTTAGTAGGAATCCTAATTCCTCTAGAGGACCTGTGTGTTTTCAAACATATTTAGGCATAATTATTTTATTTCTGGGTGGTATGTAAATGGCAATGTTGATAAAGTGACTTGCACAAGGAGAAGCCAGAGACACAAGCATTTACAGCCTGGGATTTGTACCTAGGCCTGGAGGTTGCGAGTCCCAACAGCAAAAAGGAAAAATTGCGCCAACCTATCCGTCATCACAATATATTATTCTTGGGTAGAGAGAGGCGAAGAAGATAAAGAAAAATACAATTTGCTCTAGTCCA